TAACTAAAAAAATAAACAATCTTTTTAGGAAGAAGAGATTATATATATTCTTATTTTTTTTTTCATTTTTTTTTGTTGAAGTGGAGAATCCAAAAAAAAAAAAAAAGAAAAAAAAACATTATAGTTAAATTGGATATGAGACAAGCCTTTGATTAATTTCTCTCACTCCTAGTTAAACTAACAATATTTGTTTGTGGTGACTTGGTAAACCCAATCTTAATATCTCAATATGTGAAGCATTTTTCAAAACTAATCGGACAACCGATCAATAGACAACCGATTAAATATAATAACTTAGTATTTTGATTTGTAAAAGAAATGATAAAAAAAATAAAATTATGCAAGTAGTGAGAGGCCTAAAAGGAAGAGCAAACAATGTTAGCAAGACCTAAGTCGAGCGGCTAATAAATAGATGGTCAAAATCGAAACAAATAGAACTTTAGGTGATGTCGGGTGTTAAACATGAGAGCTTCGATAGAGAAAATAGAGAGTTGATATTTATAGTGAATTGAAGAAGATCTTTAACTGTTAAGATTATACTATATCATCTATTTTTAGGTTGTTAGATTTGAGTTGAAATAAGTTGAGTTGTTTCGAGTTAAACTACTTCAATTTATTTTTAAATATTAAAGAAAATAACAATTAGACCTACCTTTAGCATATACTATTTAAAATCTTTCAAATCAATCTTCCTAATATACTCCAACAAGATATGAAAACAAATTCTATCAATATATGCATATCTATCCTTACATAGTCGAAATCCTTGTATTGGACAAGATTTATTTCCAATCTAATTTCTTTGTTTTATAACTTTGATCTATATCAAAATTTTAAAAAATAACATAAATGTATATATAATAAAATTATATAATTTCTTGATTAAATTCCAGAGTAAAATTTAGCGTATACGCTTCTTAACTATGGTTGCCTAGCACTTTGATCATAGGTGAGTGGACTTGATGTTTCCTTTCACCGAAATAGCACGGCCGAAGCTGAGGTGAAGCAGTCTGACTCTGGCCCATAATTAGCAAAAATCTAACTACCAGACAAGGTAGAAAGGCAATATAATAATAATAATAATAAATTTCTAACGACAATCATAATTGAATAGGAGATAGCATTTTAGCTAGTTGTACAGCATGTGATCCTGCTCCTGCAGAGGAGTTGCTAGCTACTGCATTGTCTGATGAGGAGATGATAATTAAATTTACGGTGATGATATGTGTATTGTGAAACTCTGAAAGATACATTAAATGGGAAACATCCAATGAAGATCTTCATGCAATTTTGTTTTCTGTAGATGCACGTACCCTCACATGGGAAAACAATCCTTTTTATGCTTTATCTAAGACTAGCATCTCTACGACATACGCACTGTTACAGAAAATGACATCGAATGGGTAAGAGGACATGAAAACTCAGAAGCAACCACTACGTTCAAAAGGAATTCACCAAGTAGTGATATATTGGGGTTAAAAGGACTTCACAATTAAATGGACACATAAAGATAGAAGTCAACGAATTCACAGTACCGTCAACCTTTTACGATTCTGTCTCTAGTCTAGCATGAAAAAGAATTGTTGAATCTAGTCAAGTTGGTGCCAAGCTTGAAGATTGATGTAGAAAAAGCTTCAAAAGAAACACATGCCAATTTTCCCTTGTTCACACTTAGGAGTCAGGCCCTATGGACTTATGCCGGTTAAAGAAGGGAACAACCTCTTGGACTTTTAACTAAATAATAAATGGTCCTGAGTTCGTTCCTCAACTTGCGGTTCATTACAACTTAAGTACTCCTAACCTTTAATTTCTTCAATTTAGTACCTAAACTAAGTATTTGTCAATAATCAATTGCGGTGTAAGAGGGAGGGAGGGAGATAACCTTAGGAAAAAAACAAAAAAAACCCAAAAAATAAAAATTAAATAAAAGAATCCTTAAATAAAAAGGAGAGAAAGATAGAAATCAACTATTAAAGCAACCAGCGTGCTTTCTTGGCTGGTGTTTATTTGGGTTTTAACTAAGATAGGTAGAGAGAGAATAGAAAGAGACTTGTGATCTTCTAGAGTGGTTTTTTTTTTTTTTTGGATTTGTTTTATTACTTAGAAATGTGGGTATTTTGAAATTCAATTGAGATTAAAGGTAGGCTATTGTTTTTTTTTTTTTTTCCTTTTAAATGATTTTGAAGAAGAAAAGTGACGGGTGACGATGATGATATATTTCATATAATTTGGGTTTTCCTCATATATACCTTAAGAATAGTACACGTTAATGGAATGATTTAATTTTCATTATTTTCAATCTTGAATTACGGATTAGGATATTATTCAAATTAGAGAAATAAATCTATTAATCATATAAGGAAAACTTTCCAATTATATCAATATTTAATGTATGGTCTCATTTAGATTTTAGTGTAGAAAAAAATATTATTTTAATAGGTTTAGATGGATGAGTTGTTTTTATTTAATTTAATAATTTTAATTTTGAATGCATCATCTAATACTCATGTCAGATTTTATGGGCACACTTGATATATAGTCAATCGACGAAACCATGAAAAAGGGGCTACATTGATGTGGCCAAAAAGATCGAGGGGTCAAAATTAGAAAATTGAAAGATTAGAGGTTTAGTTGTAATTAACTGATAGTTCAAGTCAAGAATGACCTCATGACCAATTAACCAGCCTTTAATTTAGATGTTGGTCTGGTGTATCTCCCTTCGAATGCAATATTTCACTTGTAAATTAAGAATGCTCGTAACTAGAGCACGTCTCCGACAGAGGCAAAAGTGTAGGCTATCATTAATCTTTCAAGAAAGTAAAACAACAGGAAATTACGTAGTCAGCTAGCTAGCTACTTAACAAATTAAACATGAAGAGGGTACCAAGTTCACGCATTGAATTAATTAAGAGATTCAACAAGTTAGCACCTAATCAATAGTTATAAGGCTAATTAGTTCTAAAATATCTTGGATTTACGATCAAACAAAGACTGATATTTAATCTTTAACTTTTTTAATTTAATCACTACATTTTTTTTATCAGCAATAAATGAAGTTTTTTTTGTTGATTAAATTCCGACAATATTTTTTGCTCGTTGTCCAATAAAATAACAACGCCAAACACTTTCTTTTAAACTAAAAGTAAAATGAAAAGAAAAAAAAACTCTTAATTTAATTTTTTTTTTTTAAAGAGAAAATAAAAACCTACATCAAATTCATCTTCCTCTTCCTCTTCCTCTTCTTCTTCTGCAACAATTAATTTACTCAATCAAACCTCAAATCATTGCAAACTCCTGTTTCCTTTTCAAAACTTTCCGATTTGATCCGGAATCCTGATGGTGCAAGCTACAGCAAGCGAATCATGATACAAATACAAAGATTTCAGATGATCCTACTAAGCAGGCTGGTTCCCCACCACCATACTCTTTGCAGGCTTCTTCAAAACCTTCACACGATTAAACGATTCAGTTTAAGTCTCTCGATTTTGTTCTGGTTTGTATTTTTTTATTTTTTTTTCTGATACTTGGTACTTTTTAAAGGAGTTTTTTTGTCACAAGTACATCCAAGCCTTTTCACCTGTATGGAAAGCATTTTTTTGTTGTGAATAAAATGCAAGTGAAATTTGTAATATTTGTCCCCTGGATGTATCTTCTTAATTCGGTGATATCCTTTCATATTCTTTTAAGCTCTTGCCTCTTGCACATGAAATTAATATGGCTGTGGGAATCATAATACATTAGCAGTCATTACTACATTACATAATCTGCAAAGAGTAGCTTTATTGTTTGGTACGGATGGCAATGTGGTATAGCAAATCATTCGTATGTGGTTCTTTTTCAAGTGATTGAGCGACTGTCGTCCTGGAGGGGATATTGTGGCAAAATGTGGTGCCGTTCTGGCTCTCTTTCAGCCAAAATGCCTCTAGGGGGCATTTAATTTGACATGGGGTAGTTAGTTCCTAATGTTAAAAGTATAAATATGGATGATTTGAGTTTCGATTGATTTAATTAATTATTGAAGAGGAAGAGGAAGAGGAATGAGATTAGAGGTTTTTTCTTAGTCATTTTACTTTTAATTTAAAAAAGAAGCAACATGTCATTATTTTATTGGATCATGTAAGAAAAATGTAGTGAGAATTTGATTAACGAAAAAAGTAGACTCGATTGCTGGTTAAAAAAAAGTTTGATAATTAAATTGAAAAAAATTAAACTCAGGTTAAGTGCTAGTCTTAATTTGACCAAAAATTTCAAAATACTTCATAATCAATTAGCCTAATCATACCACATGTGATGTCTGTCTTAAGATGCAAATGATTGCCTGTTCAAAAAAGTATGGAGTATCAGAAAACTAAGAAATTTTATAAGCATGCAGTGGGTGGTTTGTGATGGTTGAATTAGGTTTGGTGGTTATATATATAGACTATACAGGTTAAGTTGGTACTCCCAAAAGTGTTCAATAAATGATCTCAAGGCAGGAATATTATTTTATACTCCAAGGAACGAATATAAGAGAAATATATATATATTAGGCTGCAATAATTGGTGGACCAAATGTTGTAAATTCTTATGGAGCACAAAATATTATGTGCTTATTTTTGAATTGGTTTTTTTGAGAGATCGACGGGTGTTGGATTATACAATAGATAGCCCTCCTACTTTATGTCCCATCTCACTCTTGTAGTTAACGTTTAAACTTGAGATCTCCAGATGAAAGTCTCAAAGTTTTAACCCGTAGGTTGGGTACTAGGTTTGGGTTTGGTGTCTCCATAGAGGTATTCAATTACCTTATCTAGAGCTTTACTTGAGAAAATGATCAAAAAGCAAAGTACAGCCTCGCATGTTATATATATATGTATATAGAAACATCTCTCTACAAGGTAAGAAACCATACTTTACCATGATAATGCATGGGTCATTTGCATAAGAAAACCCTAACCAGGTGTTCTCCATACTAATAATGTAGCACATATAATCCCAATTTTATACAGGCTTGCTAAAGCTTAAATGCTACCATCTCCTCTCTCACCACAAGGATCATTATTCCATGGAGAAGGATAATATGAACCAGAACTTTGATCATAAGAACCCCTTCCATTACCCATCCTTCTTCCATACTGGGGGTTTGCTGCTGGCATTTCATTGCAGGCATATCGGATCAAATCAGCATTTGTAGCATCTAATTCCTTTTGGAGTCTAATAACTTGTCTTTGGAGGACTGAAATGGCACCAACACAGCCATAGACTGGATCTTTCATCCGTGCCTCAGCTTCATAGGCAAGAGAGTTGACTGCATCTTCTCTCTGATGAGGAAGGACCTCATTGAGAAGCTTACTGACATTGCTTGCACCAAATATCTTGTGAACATTGGCAAACTTCTGGGGCTCTTCGGGTGGGAAATACGGTGCAAAGATGCAATCTGGCATGCATTTTCTCCGTAGGAACTTGCAAGCAGCACAAGGAGAATTGGAATAGCTGGAAGAAGCCATCTATTGTACTGCAAGGAATTAATTGAACACCTTAATTAATTAATTCATCAAACATGTTCTTCTCGATGCATAGCCTCTTTTAGACTTTGAATTTACAATATGAACAACTTATTAACTTATTTTACATTATTTTTTATAAACTGAACACTAATTGTGATTGAAGTGGACAGAACCTCTGTTATTATTGTATATAGAGATTTGTTAGGACCACCAGTTTAGCACCACAAGTATTTTTTGTGAAGTAGACATGACAGCAGTTTTCCTCCTAACTATTTCAAGCATCATTTTTTACTTTTTCGGCCTGAAAAGCAATCTTTCTTGAATCTGACACTCCTGTTGAATATTTCATCTCCAAAATTTACTTATCAATCCCCATAGTAAAAAACAAACAATATGTCATTAATAAAAAAATAAACTAAATAGTCAAAACATAATACATCAGGGTACAGGGATAGTTTCATTCTTGGAACTTTTGTCAACAGTTCCATGACAGCAACATGACACAGCCCCTACACCCCTCCTTCCCCCTTTTCTCTCTCCAAATTTTAATTCCTACAACTACTGGAATGTAGGCAGATCCTTTCTTTTGAAGTAGGCATCCGGGGATCTCTCAATGGTGCAATCTCATAGCCTTCATCCTATGTAATTTATTCTTCCTTAAAGGTGTTGGGGCATTTGTTGACTGACATCAATTCTACCTATTGATCAAATCCCAAGTAAATAAACCACTGATCTCATCTATGGAACTAACATTCAGCAGTGCTTCAAAGTGAAAAACACAAGTAAATATATATAAAAAGATCTTATAGCTGAGCTGCCTGTACTTACCTTTTATGACTAGGTTCTTTGATCAGGTGAAAAGGAACACTACCTTTTCCCCCTCTTGTGTAAGCTCTTTCAAGATCTACGGACTTTGATTTTCCCAAGGAAAAAGACTATATGCAGCTATTGAAAAATGAAAAACTTGGTATCAGATGTGAGAGTTCAGAGAGGAAACCCTAGTGGCAGCACAGAGAGAGAAATCTGCACATACAGTGACAAAAGGTAAGGAAGATTAGAAAAGGGTAGGCAAAGAGCATTTAGTGAAGAGGAACGGAAAGCAAAAGACAAGTGCAATAAATGGGCAGCAAGAAAAAGGATGACTATGACGCTGCTCTTATAATAATATCAAACACTGTTCAAGAACTTTGGCCAATAAAAAAAAAAAAAAAAAAAACCCATCAACTCTAAATCAAACTATTTTCTTTTTCTTTTTGTTCGAACATCTTAAATACATCATCAAACATATGCAAATAATGAAACAATTGCTTGGCTATTATTTTGCACTACGAGGAGAAGGTCTGACATCATCACAAGATTCAAGCCACTCAGAGATTAAGAGGTTCAATTAGGTTGATCCCCTTATATCCATTTGAAGGCATATATCCTCTGGTAAATCTCATCACAGAACAAAACTACTGTTTCTGGCCAGATTTTGGCTTTATTGCGGCTTATTCAGAAATGCAGCCAATCTAGAGCTGAACATTGAGTTTGCTCATAATTAAACTTTATCAAAAACTAATTTCAATAAGAAATGGAAGTCTTTCCTTTTATATTATAAAAAGGAAATCGCAATCACTAAGTTTTGGATCTTACTTCACAAAAAAAAAGGAAAAAAAAAAAAGACTACTAGACGTATAACTACTAGACCAAGTCTGCATATAGTACTGGGTTTTTATTTCAACGTATGTAGAGCTAAAAAATAGTTACGGTCATTATTAATATAGAGAAACTATTGGTGAAAATATATTGATGCGTACATATTGTCAATGTCAATGTATGCACCACTCAAGTACTATATATATATATATAGGGTTGAAGTTTAAAATATTTTTACAGGTTCGACTAATTAGTTATAGATATCCCACCTCACTAAGCAACTTATAACATAACTCTAACCTGAAATCTCACACTTGATGAGTTTTGGTTATTCCACGTGAAGGAACTTTTTAGAAGCAACTTGGTGTAAATTGCAATATATATGATGCTAATACCACTTTTATTTTTTCTTTTTCTTTTGTAAATAAAAAATTAGCACTATTTTTCCTTTCTGTTCGCGTAATTTTTATCCAATTCTGATTATTGAATCATATTACATTAATAAAAAAAGAAGAAGCATAACTCTTATACTATCTACATACTCATGTAGTATTGTTTGGTTATCAAAAAAAAAATGTTCGGAATGAGAATGCATGAATTAAATTAAATAAAAATTAACAAATTAAAATGATATTTGAATTTTCATACTATGTTTAGAATAATAATAAAAAATTCAAATAGAGCTTAAAATTTTTAATATCTAATTTTTAATACAAATAAGAAGAATGATTAAAAAATAATTTTATAAACTATAATAATAGTAAAAATAATAAAAGTGATTGTGGTGATGGTGGTAGTGGAGAAAGAGATGGTAGTAATAATAATATAGTTATAATAATAATATATATACATATTTAAAATTTAATACCACCATCATAAGAGGTGGTAGTAGAAAAAGAATGATAGTGATGGTAGTATAATAAAAATAATGGTAGTAGTAGAGGAGGAGTAGAGGCGAATAATAATAATAATAATAATAATTTTTTTATATTTTTTTATAACCATCGTCAATGGAGTGGAGATGCTAGTCGCAGCTTGTGTTAGTTGTAGTTGTATAGTAAAAATTATAGTAAAGAAAGAGTGATAATATAATAATAATAAAAAAAATTTAATTTTTTTTATCACCACCACCAACGGGATGGTGGTGATAATGATAGTTGTAATAGTAGTAGAAGTAGTTCATATATAATGAATAAAATAATACATTGCTATTTTGAAAAAAAAATTAAGTTTAATTTTTATTCTTTATTTTCATTTTCATTTCATTCTTTTCAACCAAACACTTACAAAATTGAAAAACAAAATATTTTTATTTTCACCATTCCATTTTTTATTACTAAACAATACCTAAAAACTTGTTAAAACCTTGCTTAAGGTTTTCCGTGTGTGTAAAACCTTTATATATAGAGTTGTGTATTGAACTAATATTTTTTAAGGATATTTTCATTTGCACATTGAAAAAAGGATCTTTTATGATCAAATTTTAACTAAAACATCCATATTTAACGAGTGCATTTACAATAAAAAAAATTCTTGTGGTATCTCATAAGATTTCAACTCCGAATGATAATATAGGAAACATAAATATTAAAAAATATGGTCTACGAATAAGGAAGTTGTTTTGATCATTTGGTCAAAACTAAAATTTAATTTCCATTATCTATGAAAAAATAGTTATAATTATCATTTAATGTTATCAATGCTTGGCCTGGTTTATTATCTTTATGGTTTTTTAAATATTTGTTTGTTCAAGTTTGCCTTCACTTTTCTCGTTTTAGCATCCCCCACTTCGAAAAATTCTAATTCTGTCTTTATATCTTTCCAATTTCGAGTTAAGCTAGCCTCTCAAGATAGTTTACTTTACATCCACTTAACCTATATATATACATTTTTGTTAATTTTTTTCTAATTGATTATGGTAAGGCCACTTATAGGCTGGACCTATAGCATAATAATTAATCATGAAAAGGATTAAAGTTAAATAGAAAAATAACTATTGTGAAACTAGAAAGGAAAAGTTGTTTTTTTTTTTTTCATATTTAGTTGACACATGCATATAAAAGAAAGGGTTTCTTTTTCTTTTATGTGTAGTTGCCAAAAAAAGCAATTGGAGAGAAAAGAAAAAAAAAAACAAAAGGGTTTTTCTTATGTTGTTGACAAATTCTATAGAAAGAAAGTTTGTACAAAATGATGGATATCTCATCATTAAGATGCATTATATCTTAATCCCTTCTCACCATAGAAGTCAATTGCTTGAAGAATAAACTCGACTCAATAAGTGCTTGCCAAACATTTTCCGACAAAAGCTCTCAAAATGTAATGGGAACTAACCTTTGCATAAAGACGTGATAGTCATGACTTTTCATCCCATACGAGTTTGTCATTTCTCATATCAACACATCTAACTAGGTTAGAGACATATCCATCGATAAACCTTAGTTGTTTGATCCATGTAAGTAATTTTATTTTTTATTATTTGAAAAGAGTAAATGCAGCTTTTGGATACTTTCAGAGACATCATCCATTACTAATTTTGACCTATTGTAGAAAAATTTCAAGTCTTCTCCGGAGTTGGCATTGTCCTTAGTCTTACCCAGACACATTCATAAGCTGTTTTAAAGACATTGTAGAACATATTTTTCTTAATGTGTATGACATCTAAATTATGTCAAATGATATTTGTACTCTAGTAAGGTAAATCTAAAAAAATACTTTATTTCTTCCATCCACACATATGAGAGATTCTATTATTATGATCATCCGCACCCTTTTCCGTCACTTTTAATAACACTCATTATTCAACTAGTTGTAATATCTCGAGCACTAGATCGGATTGGAGGACGGCCACATCTAACAAATTCTTTTGTGGTGAATGCTTTCTTGTTTCTTCTAAATGGATGGTCTTGAGGAAGAAACTTTTGGTGATTGTTAAACCATGAGGTTTTCCTTCGTTAGGAAGGGAGAAAGCATCGAATTTTTTATATAGTAAGGAAATACTAATTTTTTTGCATACTCAAACTAGATAGAATCGAATATGCAAAAAAGTAATCGATAATCCACATCATAGCAGACTCTTAATATAAAATTCTACTTACAAAAGAAATCATAAGTTACCACACCCATGTCCCATGATCGAATCAACTCAAAAATGAAAGGCTACAAGTAAATGTCCAACTTATGCTTTAGATTTATTAGACACTGGAACAATCAATAATATATATATATATATATATATATATATATATATGTTCCTCCTTTATTCACATCCATGGTGGCAAATTGTAAGGAGTAACGATTATCGAACATAAAGAATATTAGGCCTCGAATTGATCGAATGATTGAAACCTATCGGTGCAAACTTC